TCCAAGACACATCATAATTAAATTGCCAAAGGTTAAAGATAAAGAGATGGGAGGGGTGGTGTGGAAGAATGGGTACGAGGTGATTAAGAAATACAAATAGGTAGTTATAGGATAGCTTTGGGGATGTAAAGTACAGTATTGGAAATGGAGTAGCCAAAGAACTTACATGCATGACCTGTGGACATGAAAAAGGATGGAGAAATTGCCTGAGGAAGTGGGGGGTGCTGGGTGGAGGGGAGCAAAGGGGGAAAAGTCAGGATAACTGTAATAGAATAATCAATAAAATATAATTTAAAAAATAAAAATAAAAGTTATTCCTGGCTGGTGTGGCCTAGTGGATAGAGCACTGGCCTGGGAATCAAATTATCCCCAGTTCAATTACCCATCAGGGCACATGCCTGGGTTGCGGGCCACCCCAGTTGGGGGTGTGCTAGAGGCAAACGATCAATGAATCTCTCACACATCCATGTTTCTCTCCCTGTCTTCCCCCCCAAAAACTAAATTAAATCTTTTTTTAAAAAAGTTAAAGTTGTTATGGTAGAAGTTATACTGTTATAAAGTTTCTTTTTCCTTCTTGCATTATTTTTATATACTTTATGGTATAATAAAAGAATTATTTTTTGTTTCCAAGTAGGAACACATTGGTTTAAGTTCCAGGATGGTATTTGAAGATATAGTAATTGGAGATACAAGGGGGAAATTATGTTCTAAGCTTAATACAAATCTTACGTGAAAAACTTGTTTAGTTATATCACAATATCTAAATCCTAACTTCACTACCAAAGTTCTCCTGAGGAACCCTTAGAGTTACCTGGCATAGAGCTTGAATCCTTTCCTTAAGAACAGTGGTGAGAACTATAGCAGGGATATTCTGTCAGGGCAAGGATAGAATGGAAGCTAGAGGAGTAATGGATTTATTGACAGTGGGCCTGGATCCTTAGACTCTAGAATATTTATATTTAGTCAGAAAAGGTTTTGTTTATTTTTCTTTTTCAGGAGCTGCCTTCACATGGCCCTGGGATGCGGAAAGGAAATTTAGGGGGGCGGGGGAACAGAAGGAGGTAAAATCAGTCTTCATGGAAGTTATTGTTTATTATTTGGTGATCTTAAGAGGAACTAGTTAGGATGGCAGGGATTTTTGTCTTGTTTATTTGCTGATGTAGCCAAATGCCTCCAACAGTGTCTGAAACACAAGAACTCAGCAAATAGTTGTTGAATAAACTTCCGTTTGATTAGCATTGAAACCAAATCATTTTCATTAAGGAGCTAAAGAATGAGACAGCCTGCATAGACCATTCATTTGAGAAGGTCAGCTACAGAAAGCCAGGAAGGGATCTATATCCAAATACCCATAAAGCAGTTTGAAACAAATATGCATATGTAAAACCTAATTCAATGGCTCTGAGGATTGGACCTGTGATTTCTGCATATCTAACAAGTTACCAAGTGAATCCAATTCTGCTGGTTCTCAGCCAACACTTTGAAGAAAACTACTCAAAGAGCAACTACTTTGTGAATAGCATATGTAAGATTTATTAAATAATTCTTCCTTACTCTGTTTTATTGTTTATTGTATTCTGATTGTCACTAGATGCTCCAATATAGATCTTACTGGACCATTCCTTTCTTGAAATTCTATGTTGGCTCTAGTGACATCACTCTAGATGATTATCCTCCTGTCTCTTCAGCAATTCCTTCTCGGGCTTCTTTGCTGGCTCCTCTTCATCCTCATATCCCTTCATTGTTCCTGTTTCCCAGGCATCTGCCTTCACCTAGCTCTCTTCTTCTGTTTGTACTTAATGGAAATCCTTTGTTATCTCTAATTCTAGGTGACTCCTTTGGGGTTTCTAGGTATACAGCTGTGTCTAAAAACAGTACTTTTAGTTTTCCTTTTCAAGTATTTATGCTGTATTTCTTATAAAAATATTTAATAAAAACTATATATTGACATTTACTTAAGAAATTTTTTTGTTTCTCATTTTATGGGGAATCACTACAACACAATGTTGGTTCTTGGTTCTAGATAATCTTTACTCATTAAAAAAAAGAGAGATAACTCACATAACATAAAATTCACCATTTTAAAGTATAAAATTCAATGTTTTTTATGTATGTATAAGGTAAGTACTCAAAAAGTGATAGAATTTTAATAATAAGCATTTCTGAAGACTTAAGCAATCCAACAATGAAATGGGATCCCCTGTAACTAGGAATATTAAGCATCACCTGGATAATCCCCCTTTTAGTGATGTTCTAAAACATGTTCTTGTTCTGATGGGAGATAAACTCTGAAATCTCTTCTAATGTACATACAGCCATACCACCCTGAACGCACCCGATCTCATCTGAAATCCCTTCTAATGCTAAAAATCTATGGGACATATACTGATTTGAACACTCCAACACAGTGGAATCACTGATCTGAGTAATGGTAAGGAAATTAAATAAGGAACTCTCTTTTGGCCCAGAAACAGGAAAAAACAATATTTGATTGAAGTTAATGGTACACAGTTCCCTGGCCTTGTAGTTCAGTGGGTTAGAGTGTTCTTTTCTTTTTTAATTTTTTTAAAAATTATTTATTTATTTTTAGAGAGGGGAAGAGAAGGAGAAAGAGAGAGAGAGAAACATCAACGTGTGGTTGCCTTTTGAGTACCCTCTACTGGGGACCTGGCCTGCAACCCAGGCGCTGCCCTAGACTGGGAATCAAACTGATGACTCTTTGGTTCACAGGCTGGCACTCAATGCACTGAGCCACACCAACCAGGGCAGTTAGAGCATTGCCTTGATATGCCAAGTTTGTGGGTTTGATCCCTAGTCAGGCATATACAAGAATCAACCAATGAATGCATAAATAAGTAGAACAACAAATTGCTGTTTCTCTATCTCTCTGTCTCTCTTTCTCTCTCTCTAAAAAAAATTAAAAAATAAAAAAAAGTTGGAAAACAGTATGGAGTTTCCTCAAAAAATTAAAAATGGAACTGCCTTTTCATAAAATCAAACACATAAATTAATGGAACAGAATAGAGAGCCCAGAAATAAACCCACGCCTTTATAGTCAAGTAATATTCGATAGAGAAGGAGAGAACATACAAATGGCTAAAAGATAGTTTATTCAGTAAATGGTGTTAGGATAATTGGACAGATATGTGCAGAAAAATGAAACTAGACCATCTTCTTACACCACACACATGAATAAATTCAAAATGGATCAAAGACTTAAGTGTTAGATCCCAAATCATACAAATCGTAGAAGAAAACAAAGGCAGCAAAATCTCGGATATTGCTCATAGCAATATTTTATTGGATATAGCTCCCTGGGCAAAAGAAAGAAAAGAAAAAAATAAACAAATGGGACTACGTCAAACTGAAAAATTTTTGCACTGCTGCCCTGGCTGGTGTGGCTCAGTGGATTGATTGTTGGCCTGTGAACCAAAGGGTTACTGATTTGATTCCCAGTCTAGGGCACATGTCTGGGTTGCAGGCCAAGTCCCCAGTAGGGGGCTCTCGAGAGGCAACCACACATTGATGTTTCTCTTCCTCTCTTTCTCCCTCCCTTCCCTTCTCTAAAAATATATAAATAAAATCTTTTTAAAAAGTTTGTGCACAGCAAAGGAAATCATCAACAAAACAAAAAGACAACCCACAGAATGGGAGAACATATTCGCTGATACATCTGATAAGGGGTTAATATCCAAAATTTATAAAGTACTTACAAAACGAACACAAAACAAACAACCCAATTTAAAAAATGAGCAAAGGACCTGAATAGACACTTCTCCAAAGAGGACATGCAGATGGCCAATAGGCTTATGAAAAGATGCTCAACATCACTAATCATCAGAGAAATGCAAATTAAAACCACAATGAGATACAATCTCATACCTGTCAGAATGGCTATCATCAGTAAATCAATAAACAACAAGTGCTGGCTAGGATGTAGAGAAAGAGGAACCCTTTTGCACTGCTGGTGGGAATGCAGATTGGTGCAACCACTGTGGAAAGCTGTATGGAGATACCTTAAAAAATTAAAAATAAATCTGCCTTCGACCCAGCTATCCCACTTCTGGGAATATATCCAAAACACTAATTTGAAAGAACATAAGCAACCCTATGTTTTTTGCAGTGTTATTTACAATCGCCAAGATATGGAAGCTGCCCAAACATCCATCAGTAGATGAGTGAATAAAACAGCTATGGTGCATTTACACAACAAAACACCATTTGGCCATGAAAAAGAGGAAAATTTTTACCCTTTGCAACAGCATGGATGGACATGAAGAACATTATGCTAAGTGAAATAAGCCAGTCAGAGAAAGACAAATACCATATGATTTCACTCATATGTGGAATCTAATGAACAAACTGAACTAACAAGGAAAATGGGGTCAGACTCATAGAGAGCAGGCTGAGAACTCTGGGCTGGGGTGGGGAGCGGGGGGTATTGGGTTGGTGTGATCAAGCGAAAAAGATAGAGAACTCATTGATATGGATGGACAACAGTGTGGTGATTTTGGGGGTCAGGGGTGAGATGGAAGAGGACCTAAGGGGGACAAATGGTAATACAAAAAAATACAATAAAAGAGATAAACTATTTTTAAAAAGTTAATGGTACACAGGAGAAGCAATGTTCCTAGACAATGGAAACAAGAGTTCTCATTAGCTACGTCAATAGTTCCTGGGCTCTCCTTACCCCAAATCCCCACGAGAAGGGCTTGTGCCCACCAGGGAAGGAGGAGGTAAAATTAGAACTCTATCAGGAAGTAGAGTTTTCAGGAGGGGTGGGAACCACAGTTACAAAGTCAAGGAAAGAGTCAGCCTGAGCAGCTGTGGAAAGTGTAGAAAGCCAAGGACCATAGGCTCCACTGGCATCTAAACTAAGTTTTTTTACCTAATTTTATACCTTTCAGTATCCCCTATGTCTCAGAGACAGGACACTAGGCAAGTATCAGCAGTATTTATTAAACATTTATACTTTGAATTCTCTGTTTCCAACTATTCCCTTTGTTATCTGTTGCCAAAGATACCGAAGCCATCCATCCTCAGCTTTACTTGTCTTCAAAGCTCATCAGTGCCTGCACTATAAAGAAACAGACTATGAGGCTGGAGAATTAAGAATATTCAGAACATACAAATGTTTTAAAACACTGCTTTCCAGGGTTCTCACACAAATATTTATGTTAAATTAAAATCTTTACATTAATTAAGCCATATGTTGCATGTCAACACTGATTGAAAAATAAATTTAAAAAATTAAGCCATATGCACTTGCACTCTTTGCCATAGATGAATTAATCAGGATTAAGGAAGCTGCCTTGCTGTCTTCTCTCTTTCACCCTGTTCTCCTCAGAGAACAAGTGGGAAAGCAAGGCTGAGGACAATGGAAAGAGCAGGATTAACCTTAGGCAACATTTTGAAGTAGGTGAATGTCCACTTTGACATCTCATTCTAAATTCCACATTCCAATGTTATAAATTTCTCTTATTGCCCTACTGTGCCCACCACAAACACACATCCTCTTCCATAATTGTTATTTTCACATTAGGTTGATTTCAACACTAGGTATGAGGAAGATAACACTAATCTATATTACATTGTAAAAAAAATAAAATAAAAAAGGCCCTGAAGTCTGTTTTTATTTCTAGAGGGAAAAATTATTAACCCAATTTAATCTTTAATTGGTAGAATTTCAAATGAGAAATTTAGGGAAAATAACTACTATTTAAATCACATACTTCTCTCTGCGTAGGCTGATATTAGAAGATGCTGAAGAGAAGAGAAGGAAGAGAAGACTATTAATTCATAAACCTCTTTTGGGGTTGAGGGTAGTGGGCACTTGTGGCCTTTCTGCTCACTGTCTAATTCCAATAACTATCAGTCATCATATATGCAATCTCAAAATCTTGAGCCTAAGGACCTACTCAGGTCTGAAATATGGCCTTCAGAGAGAAGACACATTTGTACAAAAGGGGGTGGGCCACCCAAACAAGCAAGAGCCCACCCCAACAAATGGCACACTATCCTCTTGGGAAACAAGCTCTCAGACCTGAAAGGATTTAGGTGTCCCCTACAGAAGAAGCAAAATTGCCAGGTTCTCTCTAGGTTAGAAAAAATCAGGACATATGTCCAGAATGTAACATCCCAAACCAAGGATTTGCCTTTTTTAGGTGTGAGGTGGAAATTCAGAGACTGAAATACCAAAATAGTAAACACCCTCCTCCTTATCTCAGTCGTATATGCTACTCCAATACACTTAATTTGTGGTCCCTATGACTGCCCCCAATCCATACCTGCAAACTCCTGCAAGCGCTTACGCTCCTCTAGGTTATACTGAAGCTTTTCTAGCAACTCAAAATATCGGAAGAGTGAGTCTCTCGGCCAAACAACGCGTTCTTCCTGATCCATGTCCATTAGCCCAGGCAGATTCTGGTGCACGTGAGTCTCCCAGTCCAACTGACCTGGAGGGAGGAATTCTTCTTAAACACAAAACGCTTTGTGGAAGCTGGGAAAGAACTGACAAATTCTATGGTGTGTAGGGGGAGGGGGAGAAGCAGGGATGAAAGAGGACACAGAAAGCAGGAAGGAGGGTAAAGAGTGAATCACTAAGAGATCACTTTTTACAATAAGCAAAGACAGCCACAGCCACACTTATCCAAAGTGAATCAAAAGTACAGAGGCTTACCAATAGAGTCAAAATTTCTGGATTCAGAAAAAGAGGAAACAAAGGAAGGGGAAGAGGAAGAAGAGAAAGATGTCCTTTTCTTTTTTGACCAGGACTCTCTTGTTTTTGACTCAGATGCTCTTAAACCCTCTTCAGTGGCACTGTTTTCAGACTCTTCTTTAAATGTTTCTGATAAGTCCATAGATTCTGTTTGTTGACTGGTATCCCTGTAAGTGAAAGGGGAAATTTTATTGCTTGAAATACATTTATGAGATATCGTTTGCTCTTTCATTATTCAGGTCCCGGCCCTGACCATCCCCTCATGCTGAGACTTAAGGTTATGAGGGCCAAACTGCTCATTGTACATACAGGTTATTGCATATACAAGCCCAAAATCTGAGCTTAACCACTTCCAACCACAATTATCTCATGTACTATATCCATCTTTGTGCCCCTCACCACACAGCTTCTGTGCTCAATTTTACTCAGGCTTCCACAATACACCCCAACCTTATTTTGCCAAGCTTTAGCTCCCCACTCCATAGCTTTATGCCTGTTATACCATAACTATAGCCTTTCCCCACATAATTCTATCTCTTAATAGTATAGGGCCCCTGGGCTCAGCTCTTGGTCTTTTTATGTTCTCCATCTATGCAGGGGTGTCCAACCTGAGGTCTGTGGGCCACATGCAGCCCAGGATGGCTATGAATGCAGCCCAACACAAAATCATAAATTTACTTAAAACATTATGAGATTGTCTTTGTGATTACTTGTTGCAATGTATTTAAGGTATGGACAAAAACAACTTTTCTTCTTCCAGTGTGGCCCAGAGTTGCCAAAAGGTTGGACACCCCTGATTCTATAGTCACTCCTTTGGTGATCTCATCTGAGTTTAAATGCTTAATAAATGCAAATTTAAACCTCTAGTTCAGACCTCACTCCTCAGTCCAGACTAGTATATACAACTTTGACTCACAAATCACCACTTGAACGTCTAATGGACATCTCAAATTCAACCCAACAACTCTTTGCCCACCATACCTCTTCCACCAACAGCCTTCCCCATCTCAGCTAATCCATTCTGCCAGTTGCTCAGGCCAAAACTTTGGAGTCATTCTAAACTCTTTCATATCCCACATCCAATCCATCAAGAAATCCTGTTGACTCTACCTTCAAAATATACCTTTTCTTACTAGTACCATTCTGGTCTAAGCCATTATCACCTCTTGCTTGGACAGCAGCATAGCTTCCTAACTCATCTCTTTGTTCCTTCCTTTGTTCTTCTATAGTCTATTATCAACACAGCAACCAGGGTAACTCTTCTTAAATGTAAGGCATTTCGTGTCACTCCTCTGCTCTGTTCCCCATTTCATTCAAAGTCGAAGTCCCTACAATGGTCCCCTCAGCCCTACAGAATAGGGTCCCCACTGTCTCTCTGACCTCATCTCCTATCACTTTTCCCCTGCTCATTTTGATCCAGTTACAATGGTTTCTTGTTGTTTCTCAAACACATCAGGCATGCTTCTGGCTTAGGATCTTTGTACTAACTGTTTCCTCTGCCTATAACACTCTTCCTATAGTAATCTTCTCACCTACTCCAAGTCTGCTCAAATGTTACCAGGCCATCCTGACTAACTTGTTTAAAATTACACCCAGTCTGCAACGCCCACCCCATATTCCAATCCCCCTTAATTTGTCCTAATTTTTACTTTTTCATAATGCTTATTGTATTTTAACATATTAACATATTTTATAGTCATTATTTATTGTCTTTCCCCTTTCTGGTATGTAATCTATAGGAAAGCAGATATTATTGTCTGTTTTGTTCACTGATATATCCCAAGCATCTAAAAAGAATTCAATAATTATTTATTGAATGGATGAATGAGTTTATTTCTCCTGCTCTCTTCTTCATCACTGAATACTCAGGGTATACAATAGCATCTGTTTCATAGACAGTACATGTATTAATTTCCTGTGGCTGCTGTTAACAAATTATGACAAACTTGGTAGCTTAAAACAACAGAAATTTATTCTCTCAAAACTCTGGAATCCAGAGTCTGAAATCAAGATGTTGACAGGGCTATTCTCCCTCTGGAAGCTCAAGGGGAGATGAGTTCCTTGCTTCTTCCAGTTCTGGCAGTTAGTTGCCTGGCACTCATTGGCTTCTTTTAGCTTATGCTTGCATCACTCCAAACTCTATCTCTACTTTCACATCTCCTTCTCCTATCCCCTATGTCTACGTCTTCTCTTTTGTCTCTCATAAGGACCCTTGTCACTGGATTTAGGGTCCACCTGGATAATCCAGGATAATCACTTCTCAACATCCTTAACTTAATTACATCTGCAAAGACCTTTTTTTTTTTCTTTTCCAAATAAGGTCATGTTCACAGGTTCTGGGGGTTAGGAAATAGGCATATCTTTTGGGGGGCTACCATTCAAACAACTACAATCAATAGTTATTGAATGAATGAATTCTCTCTCAAAGCCAATATTTGTCTTTGGCTTTCTAATTTCTCCTTCTTCATGTGTGTCCATCCCAGTTCACATACACACTGCTAACCTGGTATCCATTTTGCTAAGGCTTGACCTCAGTGCCTCAGGGGACAGGTTTTGTCTCCTGCAAAGCCAAAAACACAGAAGAATAAACAGAGTTTCATTGAAGCAGGAGTTTATTAAGGAAAAAAAGAAAACTAAGCGAGAAGAAATTGTAGTAAAGGGATTAAAAAGACTAGGGAAGCCCCAATAGTAGATAAAGAACCAGGCGGTATTCTAGAGCTGGGGCATTTTAATTCTCGGGCAAATCTGTCGTAAAGGGAAAAACGGGGTCAAGGTCAAAGAATAGAAATAGGGAATGAGGTCAGGAAACCTTTGAGAACTAAAGTTGGGATTGAAAATTGGGAAGCAGACCTCTGGATAATCTGCCGTTTGAATATGTCGGCTTTGTGCTGAACTTCCAGGTGTGCCATCTCCTCATTCAACTCATTCCTGATAGTCTGAAAGTTAGTAACTGCCCCAAAGGGCCATTAGGAGTTGGGAATGGTGGTGACAAGACTCAGGGGAAGGGCTTAGGTGGGGAGAAACCAAGTGAAATAGCCATTACAGGGCCCAAGCCTCCCTGCTATATCAGGTTCTCTCTCTCCATAATCCACCAATCCTAAATTTCACTCTAATTTCTTCCTACCCATCCCTCCCACCAAGTTTCACCTCTTCTATGCTTACCCATCATGGCTACTATGATATTTCGAAAGATAATGGAACCAAGTAACAATGAAAGGATGACATAGATGCTGCTAAAGGTGCGGCTGACTTCAGGCACCTTCCAGGTTTCCTGAAGCAATGCATACCAATGATCCATGGTAAAGAGAATGAACACTGTCACTAGGGAATTCAGCAGGTCCCTAAAGAAAAAGGTGCATGTGTAGATAAAACAGAGATCTAAACCTCACAGAAACAGTTTCACTCTCACTTTTTTGTTTTCATTCTTACTCTTAAAGCAACATAAGAGCATTTTTTTATGGTTTGCTTTGACTGCCTTCTTTTCTACCATACTCAATTTTTTTTAGCTAATTATTCTTCAGTTGGAGGTCATTTTATTAGGTTTTCCTCTATTATGAATAATTTATGAATTTCACTTACTATTCCGTTAGTACTTGGAACATAGTAGATACTCAATAAATGGGCACTGACTGAATTTTTTTAAATTGCATAAATCACCAACTACATATCATTTTTCCTAAGTTTATTCTCCACTGTCCTACCGATTCACCTAACAAAACATCACTTACAAATTTAGCAAACACCATTCCTATTTAGTTTGTTGTTATAAACTGATAGGCAAGTGAATGAATGGGTTTGTGACATAAATATGTGACCTCAAATAATGAATGATAATGACTGTATCACAAAAGCTCTCAGGAAGATCTCTAAATTTCCCTTCTTAGTCTTCCATATACAGTTCGTTGAAAATATTAGAGCCTGAATAGGATAAATTCTAGGACTTTCCTCACTCATACTTTTTACAAAACTACTAAGAGAGATCTGAGAGGCACTGACAAAATAGGGTTCCAATTCATAAATAACACTATCACCTCTGAATCCAAATTGACTTTCTACTAGTAGTCAGTGTTCTATAGACAAAGGTCTTATAAGGGTTTTACTTTTGAATGAGTATAGGTGTGCACATATCTAGAGACTGGGGTAAAATCAGTGAGCATGTTTGAGAGTAACATTTACTATCACTTACAATATGTGCTAAATACTCTAAGTGCTTAAATACATTACCTCATTTATTCCTTCACTCTTACTTTCATTTTTCAAAAGGGGTAATTGAGGCATAGAAGCCAGGGCTTAACCACTGGAGTATATTGCTATTTAAAGAAGGTTGATGTGGGTTCATATGAACTTGCCAAACCCAGAGCAATGCCCTGGCTGGTGTGACTCAGTGGACTGAATGCTGGCCTGCGAACCAAAAGGCCGCTGGTTCGATTCAGTCAGGGCACATGCCTGGGTTGCAGGCCAGGTTCTCAGTTGGAGGCATGCAATCTCTCACACACTGATGTCTCTCTCTCCCTCTCCTCTCTCTAAAAGTAAATAAACAAAATCTTAAAAGAAAACACACAGCAAATCTGGTAGCTGCCCTATCCTCAAAATCAGAGTGAATACCACTAGTTATTCTATTGTGTTCTCTTTGCTTCTCCTGTGTCCTATTCCACTTTCTTAAAATAGATTATACTTGTTGTATTACTATACTTTGGACTAGCTTCCCAGTCTCTTGCCCAAATTCTCTCCCCCCACCCAAGCTCCCCCAGTCCTGCCTACGAGAAGAACATGTGGTACTTCAGGTCCTGTCGAGTTGAACGGGTGTAATTCTCGAAGAAGTAGATACCAGTCACAGCAAAAATGTAGAAGAAGATGATCAGCAACATCAAGAGGAAGGTCATGCTCTAGAGGCCATGATTTCAAGTCAGAGCTGGGGCAGATTAGGTTGATCTCCATCTATAGCCCAGTCAAGCCCACCCAGGCAATCCCCCACCAAATCCTCACTTCCAGTCCTGAGCCCAGTTATCTCCAGAACACAGAAGCTTGATCCCACCACTTTCTCATCCAATAACATATCACAGGGTCTTTCATTGCCTTCTTTGACCCACCCAGACTTGTTTCATGTAACTCCCATGTTTATCCACCTTGCCTGCCCGCTTTTGCCACTATAGTCAAATCACCTTGAGGGCTCTGGCCAGAGCCAAAATGATGACTCGAACTTGACGGAATCGTGTAAAGAGTTTGAGAGATCTTAGGACCCGGCAGATCCTTAGCAACTGGAGCCATACAGACTGGCCTGTTACCCCTACCAGCACCACAACCTCAGGAAGCAGGGACTGTGGAAAACAGAGATTATGAGTAAAATATACCCAAAAGCACCCATGCACAGTTGCCCCTTTGTTTTCTGATCTTTTTCATAATTCCTTGGGCATCATCCCTTGAATAACATTCTCTGGTGACTGTTTCCCATTCAGTCTTTCTATATTAAATTACTTAAACTCTGTACTTCAATTTTCTCAGACATAAAAAGGGGAGAAATAGAATGCTTATCTCATTAATGAGGTTGTTGTGAAGCTCAAATGAGAAAATACATGTAAAACACTCAGAACACCTGGCACTTAGTAAATGCTTAGTAACTGGTAGATGTTACTGTTGAGGTTAATGTTGTGGTTAGAATCTACCTTGCAATACCAACAATTCCGACAATGACTGACTTTTAGTCTTAGAAGGAAAAAAAGGGAAGTTAGATACATTTCTATTTGTTTCTTCCTGTAATCTAATTATCTTAACTTTTCTTGTCATTTTTGATTCACCTAGACACATTCCTCAACACATTAACCTAATTCTCAAGTTATCAATCCTTACCAATATGGTAACAACAAAATCAAAGACATTCCAGGCATTCTTCCAGAAGAGAAAAAAGCTGGATAGCCACATAAGAAGGATCTCCAAGATAAAAATAAGTAAGATGAACCAAGCTGCCACCTCCAGAGTCAGCTTCAGTGACCACAGTTTGGTGTTAGAGGATTCGAGCAGTTCTGTGGAAGTAGAGCAAAGGATGAGTAAAGGTTAAGGAAGTGGGAAGCTGAATGATAGAGAACGATCACAATCTGTTATAAACTACATTTGTGTCCACTGCTATTACATTTTTCTCTGAGTTTCTCTAAACACTGTCGTTGCTTCAACCTGCAAAACACAGGGGAGGACAGAATTGAATGCGGAAAACAGCTATGACTCATTTCTCCTGCTGGTAATCGATATGTCTAATAGCTGCAAGTCACTGCCTTACCATTCTGGTGTCACAAAGACACCAAAGGATTCATCTCTTAACTACCCGAACCCTGTCTTTGTACTATTACCCCCAAGTCCCAAACTTCACGAAGAAGCAATGAGCCTAGAGATTAGAATGAAAACGTAGGGCCATGAGATGTTAAGTGCTTTATAAAGAATATAGAAACAAGAATCCAGATTCATGGAGCCTATTGAGTTATAATGAGAAATTGTTGGTTCTTTATTTGTTAGCTTTTAAAACTTTGCCTTTCTTCTATAAAATTGATTTTATTCTGCAACACAAATTTAATCCTATACCTTCTTTCTAGAACAATATTATTTGCTAATTGCTGTTCCCTAACTCATTGCCTTCATCTTTCAATCCTCTTCATCTCCTTTATACATTTAATGGATGTACGCCATGCTATTGAAGAAAACATGAGATTGAAATAGGTTTAAAAGCTAAAAATTTAATATGTCTCCCTTTGAAACATGATAATCTGAGAACCTGCAAATGCACTATGACTGATATGCTTGGCAGTTAATGGCAGAAGAGCATACCCAAGCACCCTGAAGAACACAAACTGCTATTTATTACGCCCTACCACATAAATTTCCATCTATAGTTTAACATATATCACGTGTATTTAACATACAATACATAATGCTATGTTATATGAAACTAATGTTACATGTAAATTATACCTCAATTATTTAAAAAAATTAAATTAAAAGCTATATAATACACAACATATATTTGATCCACAAGTCAAACTTAATGTCATTTTAAAATTCATTAGCAGATAAATCACATATTTTCTTTAAAAAATAGCATGACTTCCAGTCAAAATGGAGGCATAGGTAAACACACTTTGCCTCCTTGCACAACTACAGAAAAAATTACAACTAGACTACAAAACAAATCACCCAGAACCATTCAGAAAATTGAGCTGTATGGAAGTCTGACAACCAAGGACTTAAAGAAGCCACAATCATCCAGACATGGAGGAGGGGCAGAGATGTGCAGAGGTAGAGAGGTGGAGAGGTGTGGCACCACGGGAGAGGCCTCGTGAGGGGACAAAACAGGCAGTATCACATTCACGTGTGGTGGATAAAAATTGGGAGGGATCTCTTGGGAGCGAGTGGGAGCCTTGCCCAGCTCCAACCAGACTACCCAGCAGCCCAGGGTTCCAGCACCAGGCAGATAAATCCCCGTAACTTCTGGCTGTAAAATCCAATGGGGGTTGGGGTGGTGGAAGAAACTGCCAGATTACCAGGAAATTCCTCTTCAAGGGACCACCCCCACCCCCTCTGGGATGTAGCACTAGGGCAACAGTTGGAAGGGCACAAATGGCATATGGGAAGGAAGTGAAGAGACTAGACAAAGCAAGTGCTAGGAGACAGCTTCCTCCTGGGCAAACATCCAGAAGCCAGGCAGTGGCACTGTCCCTTTCAGAGCCCTCCTCCTAAACAGAGCCACAAAGCAGTGAAACATATTGCCCCACCCTGGCGATTACCTAAGGCTCTGCCCCACACAATTTACAAGTCCGCTCTTCTACAATAGGCAGCGCTACTAAGACAGGGAATCAAAGTAGCTTTACCTAATACATACACAGAAACAAACACAGGGAGGCTGCCAAACTGAGGAGACAAAGAAAGATGGTCTGATTGAAAGAACAGAATAAAACTCCAAAAAAAGAATTAAATGAAACAGAGATAACCAACCTCTCAGATGCAGAGTTCAAAACACTGGTCACCAGGATGCTCAAAGAACTCACTGAGTATGACAACAGCATAAAAAAGACCCAGGCAGAAATGAAGGTTCATTAAGTGAAATAAAGAAAAATCTACAGGGAACCAACAGAGGAGGGGATGAAACTGAGTATCACATCAACGATTTGGAACATAAAGAAGAAAAAAGCATTCAATCAGAACAGAAAAAGAAAAAAGAATTAAAAAAGTGAGAATAGAATAGGAAGCCTCTGGGACATCTCCAAATATACCAACATCTGAATCATAGGGATGCCAGAAAGAGAAGAGGAAAAGCAAGCAATTAAAAACTTCTTTGATGCCCTGGGTGATGTGGATTAGTGGACTGGACGCTGGCCTACAAACCAAAAGGTAGCTGGTTAGATTACCATTGAGGGCACATGCCTAGGTTGCAGGCCAGGTCCCTGGTTGAAGGCGTGCAAGAGGCAACTGATTGATGTTTCTTGCATATTGGTGTATCGCTTCCTCTCTTTCTCCCACCTTTCCCCCCCTCTAAAAATAAATAAATAAAACCTTTAAAAAATAAAGTTATTTGATAAAATAATGATTTGGTGAAGGAAATAGACATACAATTCCAGGAAGCACAAAGTCCCAAACAAGTTGGACCCAAAGAGGACCACACCAAGACACATCATATTAAAATGTCAAAGGTTAAAGATGAAGAGAGAATCTTAAAAGCAGCAAGAGAAAAGCAGATGAAGATCACTTGGAGGGTTATCAGCTGGGAGGGGGAAGAGGGAGGAGGAGTAATGGGGGAAAAAGTATAGGGAATAAGAGGCATAATTGGTAGGTATAAAACAGACAGGGAAGTGTTAAGAATAGTATAAGAAATGTGAAGCCAAAGAACTTATATGCACAACCCATGAACATAAACTAAGTAAGAGGATTTCTGGAGGGAATGGGGGTACCAGTTGGAGAGGGTCACAAAAAGAGAAAAATCGGGACAAATGTAATAGCATAATCAATAAAATATATTTTTTTAAAAAGAAAAAACAAAGAAAGAAAAAGTATTGTGAAAACTAAAAGACATAAAAATAAAAGGTTGGTAAATTTGACCACAAAAAAAATGAAATAAAATTAAATTAAAAATAGCATGAATCACTTATAAAATGCCAAAAGTAAAAATTGCTCACATAATTTTTAAAATGATATAATAAATATTAAAATACAATATTTAATATGCTAGTCTATAATATTTTTACTTCAACTTGCTTCTTTATACCATAAAAATAATTAAATGATTAAAACACTTAAGGCAGTTTTCAAGACTATATATGTATTACTTGGAAACAAAATCACAGGACAAAATAAAATTGGGAAGCTTTGATCTAGAAAATTGTTTGTTAACAACTATTTTTTCCCTATCTATAAAAACATTCTTGTGATTTGGAAATTTGTTTTTTAGAAGTCTAAAAATAAATTTTTATCACATGAATTAGTCCGTTCAAAGAAATCTATGAGTAACAAATTATTATTCCTCCTGCCTTTCTACCATGAGAACGTACTTAAAAAAATACCATGATTTCCCAAGCAATTCCTACTTTAGAAATCCACCTATCTTCTGGCACAGTGATTATATTTCATATTCAGCCATTTTACCAATTGGAAGGTTTAGTGTTATTCTTTTTTTTTGATTTGTCATTAGATGCAGGGACTCCTGTACATGTATTGTTATTATTCCAAGGCTTAAGACTATATCCCTAACCTCAGAAGGCAAATACATGCCAGCTATACAAGAAACAGAAAATGTGAGCGACGTGGTTTAAAATCCTCCCCATATGCGAAAGAAATAAAACATTTCAAAGTGTATGTGGAAAACCGTAGTGGTCAATGACATCAATTATTGTGTTGTATTTATATATCTTTGACCCAACTGCATTAAAAGACAGTTTTAAAGTGGGGAGACTTCCCCAGAACTGTGAGGATGAAACAAGGAAGTAGTACTTTTACTGTCCTTTATCCTGTCTAAGCAGTTGGTTTGAGATGATAATCAAATGAGCTCATTGATTCTCCAGATTTCTTTTACTGTTAATACATTGCATATAATTTATGATTAGTTTTAGAGTTATTTACTGTCTTTTTTTTGGCTCATCTAATACCTTACTTGTACCTAACTTGACATACTTTGTAAGCTTTCTTATTCGTACTTAATCTTTCTAAACATATGTGTAAAAATGTAAATATTGGCTCACTCCCTTATGGGCACCAATATTTCTAATAGGAAAGGTTAGTTCAAACAAATTTAGACTAAACTGACACGAGAAATAAAACTAGTCTTTCCATCTCTTGTTTCCTGTGACTCTATTACACCTTTTATTTCCTACACTCCCAAGAGCCCTCCAAATGTTTCTAGATCTTAGCAGTTGCACAAACACTACTTCAGGACCCTTAATATAATTATGCCTATCACAATTCAAATAACACTCAAAAATATAAAATGATCAACTTAAATGAAAAATGACTCCCGCCCACTTCCCCTTTCATTTAATGTCAATTCTCACCTATTTCAACCATTAGTACAATTGTATTCAAAAAGATGAGGAAGATGATGAAGTTCGTGAATAGAGGACCTGTTTTCTCTTAAGGAAACATACACAGTGGAGTTCTTTCTGATTCGTGTAGGTGAAATAATAGGGGCAAGAATAGAAACAGTGAGAATGAGAAGAAAATGGATTTTGGAAAAGGGAAAAAAAAATTATAAGGATGAAGCAAGAGAGACAGTAAAGCCATGGGATAAAAATGAGTGGCATGAGGCCCTGGCTGGGTAGCTCTGTTGGTTAGAGCATCATCCTCTCCCCCTCCCGCCCCCGGCCCCCAGCCAAGGTTTTGGGTTCCATCTCCAGTCAGGGCACATTCAAGAAACAACCAATGAATGAATAAATAAGTGGAAAAACAAATCGATGTCTCTCTCTCTCTCCTTTCTCCCCCTCCAAAAAATCAATAAAAATGAGTGGCATGAAAGGATACACTCAAGGACCCATCCAGCCCACAAAGAAAGTGGTGGTCTGTGACTGCAGCGCACTAGAAACCTGCTCGTCAGTCTCCGGCCATGTGTAATCCGTTCTACATGACGAGGCTTTACGTAGAAGCGCACAAGCTGGTGTTGATCTCCCAACATAAGTTTCTTCTGATGGGAAGGATCTACACCAAAAATTAAAAAGGGACAGTAGATAAATATAAAGAGAAATTTGGGGGGGAATAAGAAGAGCAGGAAGGGTTGGGGGCAGGAATACTGGTTACATAACCAGCCCCTTACTGCTGGGGCTTGCCTTGCTGCTCCTTCTTACAGCAACTATTACTTTGAAGAGCTAATGTATTGCTTATGATCAACACTGTCCACGCTCAAGAATAAAGGCAGCAGTTTCAAGTGTTTTAAGTGGCTTTGGTAAAAACTGCCACATTACCCAGAGCCAGTAGTTATCCTATGCCTAAAGGCGAGTGGCATGGGTTCTATCTCCTGAATTCAATGAATTTTATTTCTAAACCTTTATCAAGTTTGGTGTGCTCTTTTCAGCAGCCTATGTACCAAATATCAAGTTTGGTGTAACCTCCAAACTAGCAACCAAATCAATGCCCCCTGAATTTTACACGCTTAAAATTGTCTGTTTGCTTCCAATTCTTAGGAGGGCATGGTGGGAGTCTTAAGTTTCTCCTTGTTAAGATATAGGCTGCTGACCAAGTATCTCTCGAATAGTGTGCCGTGGCACAGCTTGGCTCAAGCCTTGCAGATGCTCGATGAGAGAAAAAGTATCAATGAGACGAGAACGAATGGCATCAGCTCGAGGCAGTTGCAAGTGTCCTGCTGGGTGGTAAGAGGCCATGTCTGTTAAGAAAATGGCAGAATCAGATATTTCATTCTTGGAGTTGCACCAAAGATCAGGCGTTTTCTTCCCCTCCTCCCACTCTCTTTACCCTTAAGAATACAATCAAACACATTCTATCAAGACTCGGGTTTTTTGAAACAAAAGGAGACGGGAGTCTAAGAGGATATCGCGCAGTTGACTAAGTGGCCAGGCACCTTCATTTGTGTGACAGCATTTCTTATTATAAGCAGCAGCCGCAAAGGCAGGAGTCCCGGGGTTGGAAATAGAAAAACTCGGGCACCACCTGGACCCGAGAGAACCAGGCAATGCAAATGAAGTGGAGCAGTGGGAGGGCTTGAGGGTGCCCCCGAAAGAAAAAACAAGAGGAATTGGACAAAAAGCAATTGCTTGACATTTTAAAAATGTATCCGGTCCTAACGCTCCCTCGGGTGGCAGCTTCTCTCAACTCCCGCGTGTGGCCCTCACCTCAGCCCAGGCTCTCTTCCGCCCACTCAGCCCTGACTTCACAACTCCGCCTCCGGCTCGGGCGCCCCCTTAGCTCGACTCTCCCCACTCAGGATGCGCTCAGGTTCGGCTCCCCGCCTCACTGCGCCTCATTTCCAGCTCCGCCCCGTCCAAACCCCGGTTCCGGTTCCCCCAGCACCGGCCCAGGCCACCTCCCAGCCCCGCTCGCCCGAGTGCTCGCCCCCTTGGCGCCGCCCCGCGCCCCGGCCACTCGTCGGTTACCAGCTGGTCCCGCCCGCCGGACGCAAGCGCCGCGCAGCCAATCGGTGGCTGCCACACTGCGGCCCGAGCCGGGCTGAGGGGGTTGGGATCTCCGGCTGCAGGTCCGCCTAGGCTAGAAGCGAGGGCGCAGGCAGAGGGTGTGTGGTCGCAGGCTAGGCTTCAGCAGCCCCCACCGAGCCCCGACCCTGCTGGCCGCCCCACCTCACCTCGTCGCCATGCGCCTCCGCCGACCAGCACTGTTCCCCGGCGTGACGCTGCTTCTCGCGGTGGCTCGCCTAGTTGGTGCCTCTGACGTGCTGGAACTCACGGACGACAACTTCGAGAGTCGCATCTCCGACACGGGCTCTGCGGGCCTCATGCTTGTAGAGTTCTTCGCCCCTTGGTGAGGCCACAAAGCCGGGAGAGGGAGGGAGGCTGGGCCGGGCTGGGCCGGGGGCGAAGGCGCGGGAACGGTTGGGCCTACGCAGCGCCGGGCCCTCCACCATTCCAGCGGGCCCGGCTGCGGCCGGCAAATTTCCCAGCCCCGGGGAGCGGAGGTATCTCGTCGAGAGCGGAGAAGTGGGCGCTAATCTCCCGGGGGCGAGACCCGAGGAGGAAACTCGAAGGCCCCTCTCACGCAGGGCCACATCCTTACCTCTGTGCTCTTGCGGCACTTCCTATTTGTAGAGGGTTTAAGCACCCCCCTGCCTGCCTTGGATGGGTATCTACAGTTTCTGGGTGAGTCAGTAATAATGTTCTCCATGCTGCAGACTAGGGATTCCAAGGCCTTGTACTAGAAGCGAACGTTTCTCCAAGTGCAGGGGTCCTGGGCCCTTAGGGTACTCCTTTCTTCTCGCCCCAGGTCCCGCAGCCAGCCGTTGGTTTCTAGCCAAGGTCACTCAGTGGTTGCAGAATGGTCATAAGTGCTTTCCTGGGACAAGCAATTATTTTGTCCATCGCGTGGTGCACACTTTCTCCATTAAGTTGATCCCTTACTTCCCAGCACCAGCAGAATCCTGTCAAAAAGAGAGTAGGTGAACACGAGTAATTTCGTCAGAATCTGGCTAAATTGTAAGTTTTAATTAGGATTCTTCGAAAAACGCCAAAAATACTCCAATGAGAAAGTAGCCAGTTTTGGAGAAATACTCCAGGGTGATTTAACCGAACAAGGATGTAAATTCCTTAGGATAGAACTAGGAATAAAAATCTGGGGGTGGGGGCGGGGAGCAAATAGGATTTCTGGCTCCGTGATGAATCTTTGGGTTTTATTTTTTATTTAACCCCGAGTCTTTACCACAGCAAACTGTAAGCAATGACTGTATTAACGCATAAGATAGCTCAGTATATCCATGCTAATTAAAAGTACTTAATTTTTCCACTCCTGCCACAATTACTCTTCATTAAAAGCTGTATTCAGAAGTATCAGTAAAGCAGTGTGTAACTTTCACTTGCTTCTAACTCTGGTCTTCACTGCAGGGGCTCCACCGACTTGTTGAGGGTTACACTAAACGCTCTGTAGTAAAGATCACCTGAACTGGAAGCATGTACTGGAGGCAGTGAATTTTGTTTTTAGCTTGTGACGGATTTTGTATGCAGGGCATTCCTGTGGCTAACTGACAATACTGATTATACATGATAGGTGGTCTTTACACATCTTTAGGCTCATACTCCCTTTTAGAAACAACTCTTCCCAATCATTTATAACCATGCTGTTAATTAAAGAGGTGTCACTGTAATTAGAATGGCTGTTTCAAAACCGGGTGGTGCCTCAGTGACTACACAGGTCAACATGAAATGAGTTGGTGGTAGATTGTGGACAGCTAGACTTAGTTTAAAGCAGACTTTTTTTTTTGGACTGATGGTGTTCTTTCCTACTTTAAAATATTTGCATGTGCTTCCCTAAGAACTACATATCCCGTCTTGCACTAAACTATTCCAGAAAGTGGGTGGATCTCTGTGTGGTGTCTCCTTTTAATTGGTCTAGAAGGTAAGGTCATCCTTCACAATGCGGACCGGAAGGATCAGTTTTCTGAATGAGGAATGTGGAATATAGGGAATCTCCTGTTGATAACAGCCTTATTTCTTCACATTAACCATTTTTATTTATTAATACTTAAGCTGGAAATGTTTTTTGACTGCTCTGTTCCTTTGCACAAATCAAGAGTATGAGCTTACAATTTAGGAACAGTTAAAAATCTTTAGTAAGAATAAAAAACCTATTTTGAGCAGGGGTTTTTTCTGCTTTGTTTCAGGATATTTTTCCATTTTCACTTTAAAAGTGAAAGTGAAAGATTACTTAGCAGTTGATTTTGTAGACTAATATTTCCATTATGGAGTTAATCATCTATGTAATTTGTAAGACTGGGAGTATGAATTTCTCTGAGGAAATAAATAGCACTATTTAAATGTTTGTGATAATTTCTGAAAGTTTATTCATCAGTGTTAAGTAATTTTTGAGTTCTCAACATCTGCTTATGTTGTAGATTTGTGCACTATCCACTAGGACAATAGTATTAAATAAAGACATTTGATATACAGTGTTTCTAGAGTATAGAAGAAGACTGGATAGTATAAAATGGAATATTTAATACTATTTATTTTTATACATGCTGATTCCTTTACTTGGAATTCCTGCCTGGGCACAAAAACCCATCCACCCCACCTCCCCGCCCCACCAGCTCCCAAATTGATCTTTTCAACAAAATTTAGCTCAAAAGTTACTTCTTCTTACCTTGAACAACTAATTAGTTGCTCTGTCTTCTCTGTTGGGACTTAATAATACTACTCACACCTGCCAGATTGGTGTTCCTTTAGGGAAAGGACTGTATCAATTTTTCTATTAGGCTAAAATAGCCTTTGGCATGGGTCAGGCATGAAGTTGTGATTGATGATTCCTGAGTGAATATATGTTGGGATTCATTATTAATTGCTAAGAGCCGTTCCTGAAGGTGGATGTGATTATTTGTGTTTTCATATTATCTAGGAGTTAGTGAAAGAAGTAGTGTTTAGTCCCTTTTTTTTTTTTTTTTTTTTTTTTTTTTACACATTCATTAGTTGATTCTTGTATGTGCCCTGACCAGGGATCCAATACATAAGCTTGGCATATCGGGACAACACTAACCAACTGAATTACCTGCCCAGGGCAGTAGCGGTTAATCTTGATGTTCACTTTCAAACTCCACCTGAGCGTCATTTGTCAGAATTTGTCTAAATTGTCAGGTTTTTCTTTTCTTTTTTTAAGATTTTATTTATTTATTTTTAGAGAGAGGGGAAAGGAGGGAGAAAGAGGGAAACACCTTATTGGTTGCCTCTCACAAGCCCCAATGGGGGCTCTGCCCACAACCCAGACATGTGCCCAGATCGGGAATTGAACTGGCAACCTTTCAGTATGCAGGCCAGCAGTCAGGCCACTGGGGCATACCAGCCAGGGCTGTCAGGTTTGCTTTTTGCTTTTGTTTTTTTTAAGTTATCAGTTTTAATTAGGATTTATTTAACCCCCAAAGCTTGCTCGCTCTCTCTCTCTCTCTTTTTTTTTTTTTTTTTTTAACTCTCACTGGAGGAGATGTTTACTGGTTTCTTTCTTTTTCTTTTTTTAAGATTTTTTTTATTCATTTATTTTTAGAGAAGGGAAAGGAGAAAGAAAGAGGGAGAGAAACATCCATTGGTTACCTCTCTCATGGGCCTCATCAGGAAGCTGAACCAGCAACTCAGGCAGGCGCTGTGACTGGGAATCAACCAACCAACTGAGCTACAACTATTAGGGCTGTTTTTTTGTTTTTTGGGGGTTGTTTGTTTGTTTGTTTTTGCATGGTTTGGGGGCAGGGAGGGGGCAGCAGAGAGATCAGTGTGAGAGAGAAGCTGCAACTGGTTGCTTCTGGTACACGCCCAGATTGGGGGACTGGGGATCAGCCCACAGCCTTTTAATGCAAGTGACAACACTCCAACCAACTGAGCCACAAGGCCAGGGCTAACCCCCAAATTTTTACCACAGCCAACAATTATTATCTTAACCTATGGAAAAGCTCAGTATATCCATACTAATTAATAGTACTTAATTTTTCCACCCCTGCCACAATTACCCTTGATTAAAAACTATCTGTAATCAAAAGTATCAGTAAAACAAAGTACAAGGCAGGACAAAAGTAGGTTTACAGTTGTGAGGATGCAAAACACAGTTTATTCTTGTATTGTTTATTATTTTATTTTCCATTTAAACCACTGTAAAACTACTTTTGCCCCACCCTGTGTGTGACTTTCACTTGCTTTTAACTCTTGTCTTTACTCCAAGGGATAAACTGATTTGTCGAGGGTTACACTAGAAGTCCTATAGTGAAGACCACCTGAACCAGAAGGATGTTCTGGAGGCAACAAATTTTGTTTTCAGCCTTCTTGACAATTACTGCATGTTCAACAGAAATATCTCTCATGTTTCTTCTTTATTCTCATTGCTACCATTTTGGGCCAACTGTTCATTTCTGCCATGTGAAATATATTATCGCTAGGTGGCATTTTTTCTTTTTATTTTTAAATCATGTTTATTCTATTACAGTTGTCTCAATTTTTTCCCCCTTTGCCCTCCTCCACCCATCCCACCCCGCCCTCCTCTCCTACAGTCAATTCCCACTCTGTTGTCCATGTCCATGGGTCATTCATACATGTTCTTTGTTTAATCCCTTCTCCTCTCCACCATTGTCCTCCTTCCCAGTCCCCTCTGGTCACTTTCAGTCTGCTCCATGTTTCCTTGCCTGTGGTTTATTTTGTTTGCTAGTTTATTTTGTTGAATAGAGTCCACTTATAGGTGAGATCATATGGTATTTGTCTTTCACTGACTGGCTTATTTCACTTAGCATAATATTCTCTAGTTCCATCCATGATGTTGCAAAAGGTGGGAGTTCTTTCCTATTTTAAAATGCAGGTTTCATTTATTTATTTTAAATGTCAAGATCCATTATAAAATATTAAAAAATTTAAATCTATTATAATACTTCAGCAATTAAAATAGCATGACACCAGCACAGAAATAATCAAGTAGATCAATGCAATAAAATGAGCATTCTCTAAAAAAATGTATATATATCTGTCTAACAATGTAATATATGATTAAATTGATATTTCAAATCAATGGGGAAAATAAGACTCAACAAATAAGGTGCATGGACCATTATTACTTGAAAGAAAACACAGACAGAGCCCTGTTTCACACATTATACAAAAAATACTCAGGTGAATTAAAAATCAATATGTAAAATCTAAGAAGTTTTTGGAGTAAATTCCAAATAATATTTTTCTTACCCTAAAGTAACATATTCAAATCCAGAAACTATAAAGTAAAATCCTGACGATATGACTATATTAAACATTTAAGACTATGTAGTAATATACATATAAAAAAAGTTAAAGGAC